ACAAAAATCGCCTAAACCAATCCGCGAATCCTTCGCCCCTCATAAGGAAGGCCCAGCCAAAAACGTATGTACATGGTCCGCTCATGGTCGGCGGCATGGGGCGCGCGGCCTTATACCTGAAGGTAAGCCCTAACGGGCTTTGGCCTGCGGCCCGATCACGTCCGGTGGCCGGATTTACACGCTGACGCGACACAGCCGGCCACCGGGCACCTTGCCCTGCCCGTTCTGTCACTTCCCTTTCCTGTAAGTCCGATGAGTAGATGTTAAGATCTTAAAATTCTAAAAACTTTGAGATTCTAAAGGTCTCAGATTTGAAGACTTTCGGAATTTAAGGTTTCAATGGTTGAAGAATTAAGGTTTTAAGATTCAAAGGTTTTAAGGTTTTTGAAGGTTATAACAGCCAGGCCATTGCCCAGCCATTTTCCATCCAAGGCTTGAAGGTTGTATTTTTGTGAGATTGTCAGATTTGGCGACTTTCGGAATTTAAGATTTTAAGATCTTAGGATGTCAAGACTTCAAAATTTGAAGATGAAGAGGTTAAGGAATTTAGAATATTGCCCGGATTGAAGGAATTTTAGTATATTTTACTTGTTTATGAATTTAAGATTTTCAGATTGCAATAGTTCGAGATTTAAAGAATTAAGTTTTTGAAGCTTTTAAGATTCTGAGATTTTAAGATTTTGAGAATTTAGGAGCTTCATATTTTAAGATTTTAACATCTGAAGATTCAAAGACATGAGGGTTTCTGTCACTTCCCTTTCCTGTAAGTCCGATGAGTAGATGTTAAAATTTCAATATTCTAAAAACTTTGAGATTCTAACGGTCTCAGATTTGAAGACTTTCGGAATTTAAGGTTTCAATGGTTTAAGAATTAAGGTTCTAAGATGTCATACTTTAAGAGTTTAAGATCTCAATATTCTAAGACATAAGGTTTTTTTCAGATTTCAAGATTCGAAGACTTTAGGAAGTTTATATATTTTTAGATTTTAAGATTCTAAGTTCTATCATTTTAAGATCTGGAGATTCTAAGATTGATTGTTAGATTTTTATTTAAGATTTTAAGAATCTAAGACTTTAGAATTTTGAGATTTCAATCCAGGCCATTTTCCATCCATTTCCATCCACTTTAGATTTTAAGTTTTTCAGGTTGCACGTTTTCGGCAAAATTGGCCCGACTTAGGGGACAACATCCCCGCATCGCCAGCATGCATAACATCATCTGCATCATCCGGGATGATGCTGGCAATGCTGCGGGTGTTGTCCAGTATTAGGCACCCCCTAAAAACGCTCGTTTTTGGACGCCGCGGGGAGATGCTACAAAAATCGCCGAAACCAATCCGCAAATCCTTCGCCCCTTATAAGGGCGGGCCCAGCGCAAAACCTACCTTCATGGTCCGCGCATGGTCGGCGGCATGGGGCGCGCGGCCTTATACCTGAAGGTAAGCCCTAACGGGCTTTGGCCTGCGGCCCGATCACGTCCGGTGGCCGGATTTAAGGGCTGCCGCCCAGTGCCGCCGACCCCTGGATTTAGTTGTGGTTTTCGAGCAAAAGCAAACAGTGCCCTTGGTTTTGGTTTCTTTGGTTTCTTTTGGGTGAAATGTTAAATTTTCGCCCTGGTCAAATTTTGATCTTGTTTTTTGGTTTCACTGTAAACTTGAACCCCAGTAGCCGAGCCACAACCCTGCGTACTTGAGTCATGATCAGACCCCACCCCCCTGGATGATGATGGACGATGACGTCGAGTACAAATCGGCTGATAATCATCATGACGCACCCTCAGCATCACCAGCAGTCATCATGATAATCATGTCCACGCATCTTTTGCACCTCAAGTCGCATGATAATCATTTTGACGCATCCTCAGCACCACCAGCACTCATCATGATAATCATGACGACAAATTCTCTGCATCACCAATGCTATCTAACGTCCCTTCTGAAAAGCGTTACTTTTGAAATGCATATAAGAACAAGAAAGAGATGATGATGTCCATCAGGATGATGATGAGAAGAGTGATGATGATGCTGATGACTGTGATGATAACTATCATCGTAGCATCCTTTTCATCACCAGTGCTCCCTAATGAGAGATGATGAACACCGTGATGATAGGATGAGGACTGTGATGATAATTATCATCGTAGCATCCTCTGCATTGCCAATGCTGTCTAACGTTACTTTTGAAATCCATATAAGAACAAGAAAGAGATGGTGGTGGCCATCATGATGATGATGAGAAGCTCATGATGATGATGACGACCGTCATCATGATCATGGTAAGGATGATCATGATGATGTGATGATAACTATCATCGTAGCATCCTTTGCATCACCAGTGCTGCCTAATAAGAGACGATGATGACCGTGATGATAATGATCACAGTCATTCTTTTATCATTATCATCACGGTCATCATCAGCTCTCATTAGGGAGCACTGGTGATGCAAAGGATGCTACGATGATAGTTCAGTCATCATCAGGATCTTCCTCATCATCATCATGATGATGGTCGTCAGCATCATCCTCATCACTCTTCTCAGCATCATATTGATGGTCATCATCATCTCTTTCTTGTTCTTGTATGACGACCATCATCATGATGATGATGAGGAAGATCCTGATGATGACTGTGATGATAACTATCATCGTAGCATCCTTTGCATCACCAGTGCTGCCTAGTAAGAGATGATGAACACCGTGATGACAATGATGATAAGGATGAGGACTGTGATGATAACTATCATCGTAGCATCCTTTGCATCACCAGTGTCCCTATCATCGTAGCATCCTCGGCATCACCAGTGCCGGCTAATAAGAGATAATGATGACCGTGATGAAAATGATGATAAGGATGAGGACGGCTAGTAAGAGATGATGATGATGACCCTGATGATAATGATGATAAGGATGAGGACTGTGATGATAACTATCATCGTAGCATCCTCTGCATTGCCCATGCTATCTAACGTTACTTTTGAAATGCATATAAGAACAAGAAAGAGATGATGATGACCATCATGATGATGATGAGAAGAGTGATGATGATGATCAGATGCAGCATCGCTCATGATGATCATGATGATCCTGATGATCATCACTACGCATCTCCAGCATCACCAGCAGTTACCGTGATGATATCCTGATGACAATCATCACTATGCATCCCCTGCATGAGCAGCAGCTGTCAGAACAATCATGACTAAAATGCATCACTGCATTCCAAGCCAGGTTGAACGGCAAGCTTGAAACGTAGAATGCTGATGATCCGGATGCTGCGGCTAGTAAGAGATGATGATGATGACCATGATGATGATGATGGTAAAGATGAGGACTGTGATGATAACTATCATCGTAGCATCCTCTGATCTAACGTTACTTTTGAAATGCATATAAGAACAAGAAAGAGATGATGATGACCATCATGATGATGATGAGAAGAGTGATGATGATGATCAGATGCAGCATCGCTCATGATGATCATGATGATCCTGATGATCATCACTACGCATCTCCAGCATCACCAGCAGTTACCGTGATGATATCCTGATCACAATCATCACTATGCATCCCCTGCATGAGCAGCAGCTGTCATATCAATCATGACTAAAATGCATCACTGCATTCCAAGCCGGGTTGAACGGCAAGCTTGAAACGTAGAATGCTGATGATCCGGATGCTGCGGCTAGTAAGAGATGATGATGATGACCATGATGATAATGATGATAAGGATGAGGACTGTGATGATATCTATCATTGTAGCATCCTCTGCATTGCCAAGGCTATCTAACGTTACTTTTGAAATGCATATAAGAACAAGAAAGAGATGATGATGACCATCATGATGATGATGAGAAGAGTGATGATGATGATCAGATGCAGCATCGCTCATGATGATCATGATGATCCTGATGATCATCACTACGCATCTCCAGCATCACCAGCAGTTACCGTGATGATATCCTAATGACAATCATCACTATGCATCCCCTGCATGAGCAGCAGCTGTCATAACAATCACGACTAAAATGCATCACTGCATTCCAAGCCAGGTTGAACGGCAAGCTTGAAACGTAGAATGCTGATGATCCGGATGCTGCGAACCCATCACCCAACATCAGTGGTGCTGATAAACATCACGAAGACAAGGACGAATACAAGCCCTTCCCATGCGCCTCCCCTTTGGAGAAAGGGGTCGGCGGATTTACCTATCACTAGATCGGACTCATTGAAATCTACTGTATCTATGGCGACCCCATGTTTTCCCTGCTGCCCTTGGTCCGCTGATCTCTAGGGGACCAGGGACTCAGGAAGAAGGGGACCAAGGAACCTGGCTTGTTTGGGTCCATGAGTTTTGAGCCGCGCTTGGTGTTGTGTGGGTCCTCGAACACGTTTAGCTTCAAGTTCCCATGCTTGCCTTTGCCAGCGACTCAGCAGGAGGACAGTCTGCGGGATGCTGGCATAGGCAAGGTTGTGATTTGGTAGCGGATAGGAGATGAGTTACAGCCAGTTTTAGTTCCTGCTATGCACGTCTGTGAGGTGACACGATGGGCAGTTCAGGCATGGGAGCCACACGTTAGCTCCCAGAGCCAGAATGGGCCAGCTGTATATAGATCTCAATCCCGCACATGAGTCAACTTGTCAGGTGATAGATTGTCAAACATGCTCGCAGAGCAAGGTTTCACAACGTCGCCACCACGTTTCACGTTTCACGGAATCCGCGGAAGCAAGTCGACGGCAAGTATCCTGTGCATCACGTAGAGTGCCTGCCATGTCAGTGAGTACGTCACATGTTGAATGACATGATTGATATTTGGTTGACCTTGTTTCACTTTGGCTGCCACACCTGACCAGCATTGATGTTAGGACGGGCTCAAATTGTAGCTCTGTCTGAATACCAAATATTTCCGTCCTATACTGAAGCTTTGGCCTCCTCCCACAGGCTGGTGGTGGGGTGACACGTAGTGAAAGCTGAAAACACATGCCGTCCATTGCTAGGCCACGATGCTCCCAGAGTCTTTGCTGTCGGTGGCCAACAAGGCGCGGCATTTGCGCTTCATGCGATTGCTCCCATGCCCATTCCTCCCTGACAGGACATTTGGAAGCATGCCTTGGACCGCGACCAGCAGGTCCGATTGTTTGCTGCCGAGGACGGACATATTACACACAGGTCAGCACTTGTTTGAGTCTTCGCAAACACTTGAAGGATATGAGCTCTTGGGCAACATTCGCGGCTGTGTTCATTTGCCTCATTGCCATCCTCTCAGTTTGTTTGAAATGTCAAGCCACACTGCAAACTGCACTTCCAGATGCTCGACTATTTCTTCCTCAATCGCAGTGCGGAGGAGTTGACCATTGGCCGTTCCCAGACTGCAATGCAAACTTAAGGTGCTTGAAACAAAATATTTTTGCCAAGCTAGCCACTGCTAGCTCTCTAGCTCAAATTCTGATTGAGGGGCTCTCCGATACACGCTCTTCTGGATTTGCACTGCTTTTGCCTTCTGTGGCCACTGGCTTAGTCGAAGCTGGCCCTTTTTGTGTTGACTTCTTAACTTTTTGCATATTTGCAAATCTGCAAGGCTGGGTTTGGTACACCTACGGCAGGACAGGCGCTTTCATGTGGATGAGTCAGCAACTCAGTAGCTACACTGGCATAACTGCATAACTGGCATAATGCCTCGATGTTGAGCTGGCCAGTCCCTGATGGAGCGACCTTTGCCTTTGAGGCGGGTACATCTTGGAGTGGCTCCTGTCCTTCGACAACTTGTTCGTTTTGGCCTCACAACTTGCTCGAATGTATCTATTTGATACAGCACAGTCTGGCTGCAGGTTTTTCATCTCATATTCAACCTGTACGGCACGCCAGACCATCTGAAACATCGGCCCTTGTACCTTGGGCTACTAGCTCAGTGATGGGTCTCATTGACATCTTCCTATCGATGTCAACTGCTGGCGCATCCCACGCAGGATCTGCGGCGCAGTCCTGTTTCGCTTGCTCTTCATATTCGTGGGCGAGTGAGACCAGTCGTGATTGCTTGACTTCAAACTCGCCTTTCCATGCAAGGTACATGATGCATGCTATGGTCTTCATGCACTTCGTGTTTGGCACTTTCTTAGCCGGCTTCCAGGAAAATGCTTGACTGGCGTGTGTTCGCTCGCCTCTGCACTCAGGTGTACACCGGCATCAAGACTCTGACCTCGAATGAGGAGGATGAGGACGGTAGATTGAGCACATTTTGGAAAGTCTGGGCATGATGCAATGCTCAACAAGGATCCTTCCCAGAACCCGATGGTCAAATGGCTCCAGGACAAGGCTGGGCACTGCCTGTTGACTTTGGGAGCGAACCTGCTTGGATGAGGTGCCATTTGTGAATGTCTATGATGACAACGGGGCGTGGTGGCTTCAGAGTGACCACGTGCATTTAACAGATTGGTACTTTTCAAGCATGCAACGCAATGGCGTCAAGTTGTCAAGTTGTGTCAAGAGAGCACACACACACACCATATCCCAGGTTCTTTGTGAAGGTGCCTGTGAATCAGGGCGAAAACGAGACAGCTACAGACGAGCCATGCACCTAGCATTTAGCACTGAAGTGTACTCCTATCTAGCAAAGGCATGCATTCGGTGCTGCCTTGTGGCGGGAGGGCCCCTTTCATCGTTTCAGGTCTGGTTCCCACAATTTGAGCTGCGGTCAATCTTCACTGTGCGCCCCAAATGATATGGACTTTTTCTCATTTGGTTTACAGATGCCATGAGAGATCATAGTTGGTATAGTTGGGAATATTTGAAGGGCAACGTGTTAGGGGAAAACTCCAAGGTTTCATGAGCGATCATGCTTTTACACTGAGGTGGACTGTGCAAGATACAGAGGCTGCCAAGCTGTCTGGCGATAAGGAGGTGTGGCTTGTTTCTGTCTTAGCATAAGTAGTCTCTTCTTGCAGCGGTAGGCAACATATGGCACGGTCGACTTCTCCAACTACAAGCTTCAAGCTCAACTCCCTGCCAGAGTATGTCTTTTAAAGCCTTGTGACGTGCCTGCAAGGCTACAAGCTGTTGCCGACAAGAGGCAAGACGAGCCGACTGCCTGTGTTCTTCATGACTTCCTTGTTTGAAGATGTTTTGTTTGTTACACGTAGCGCGCGTGATTGCTTGCATTCAAGCAAACAGTCCACCCGATTTGACCCGATGAGAACGGAGCCAGCTAACACTACACCAGGTCATAAAGTCAGGGCATGCAATAGCTCGTGTGACGTGCCGTTTCTTTTTCCTCTCCGCATATGTTTGCCTGTTGAGCCATGGCTGGAGTGTCACCGCTGCGCCAGAGAGGATTGTACATCCCGCTACGATCAAACGCCCTGGTGGAGCCAATTGCAACCAAAGTCGTTGCGGCAGCGCCAGCCGTTGCCATGGGGCCATTGGCACTACGGCCAGTGGATTCAACGAAGCTAGTTGATGTGGCGAACCCCTTCGAAATGCCTCTGCCAGTGGACGTGCCAAAGTCAGTGGACGCTGCAGATGGTTTGGCTACGGCCAGTACGCTGCGCCGGAGCCCTCTGCAATCTACCAGGTCACGCTTCAGGTACACCACGTGTCCAGGGTGTGGCAACATCCCTTTGGCAGACAGTATTTTCTGCCGCCGTTGCGGGCACAGGCTTTTGGAAGGACAGAATGTGCAGTCACTAGAAGCGGAGCTGGAGTCCCTACGCGCCCTCCATGTCAAAGAGATCACATGGTGGCAATTTTCCTTGGAGAATCTCCGGAAGGAGAACGAGGCTCTCAAGCTCGCAGGTGCTCAGCAAGAGAACCGGGCAGATCAGACTGGCCCTCAGACCCCTTTGTCACAGGATGTTGAGAGTGTTGGCGTTTTTTGGTATGGTCTACGTATCGGACACATGCGTTCGGCGCTCGCAAGGTCTTTGCAGCTGTCGGAGCAGGCATGTTGTTCGGCAACATGTTTTCTTCTTGATGTCATACCGAGTGCTTTGTCGCAGGGCTTGAAGTGCAGCTGCTCTATCAAGTTTGCGTTTGGCCTACAGGTGAAAGAGTTGTCCAGACAACTCGCAGTTGGACGCTTAGCAGGGTGCCTTTCATTCCTTTGGTTTCCAAAGTTCAAAACTTCTCAGGTCAGCAAAAGAGAGATCGAGCTCATGAGGGAGGACTTGTTGGAAAGGTCGACGGATCTTGCTGCTGCCAATCGCAGAGCCGTTCTTAGACCCAGCTGTTGGACGTGTTGCTTTTCTTCTCTTTTCACAGAGCTTGCACAGACTGGTCTGTTCAGGAAATGCTGAGCTTACAGCGCTGGTCCGGCCGCCTAACTTGCTTTGCAAGAACATGGAGGATCCTTGGTATGTTACCCCCAAGCCGTCCTGGTTATCCTCATTGTCATTGCGCGTTGTCATCAACGGTGCTTTGATGTATATTCATAATCGCCCTCCACCCATGTTCCTGCACTTCCCATGTGTTTTCTTCAAGACCTGCATTCGGTTGGGAAATTGAAAGGATCCTTTGCAGATAGTTTTGAAGTTGCCAAGCAGATGCTGCTGAGCCTACAGATGAGTTTTGACAACGTGTTGAAGTGATAAGAGATTGGCAGACGGGGCCAAGCGCCCCAAGTGCTGTATGGTCACCAAAAAGACTTCAGGCCGCAGCACTTTGGGCCTTTCACAGCTCCAAAGTGCCGAGAAATCTATACCATTTAGATTCCAGAAGAACAGTTTTTAGGACTCAGCACTTTGACCGCTGGACAGCTGCAACGTGTTGAGAAGTCACTAGAAAACTGATTCCAACAGCTCAACTGCCGCGCAAACACTTGCCAATGTTTTTATTGCGCGGCGCAAATAGTGTACGCTATTTTTGCCCAAGGGCCGTTGCGCCCGTACAGCGCACGGTTTGCCAGTTTTCATCGCCTGCACCGATTACATTTTGTACATCGCCAAACTTACTCGTGTCGCTTGCGCTTTTCACTTCTGACAGCGTAAACAGCGCAGGCAGCCTAAACAGCACAGGCAGCACAAACATCGCACGCATTCTGGAGTTAATCCCAGGATATAAGATATGCACAACAAAGATGGTCTGCAATTATTGACTTCACTTCCATTTTTCCTTTCTATTCCTGCTTCCACAATTGTTCCCCAGAAATCAGAAGTTACATTGGATAAGGCGATATGGCTGATACACAATTAAGAACTGTAAATCTGGAGAGTAAAGGACAAGGGGCATAAGATGGTTACTTACTCCTTTATTCGGGTTAGGGTCAACATGCTGTCACTCTCTTATTTGTAAAGAGACCTCACACAGTTCCATATCTTTGTTGTATCTCATGGCTTTTTCAGCTTTACTAGTCAATTCTCTTTGTTCCAAGCTGTACAAGATATCAATGGAGAAATATATAGTTGAAGTATATGGAGAGGTAACATGAGTTGCGAATGATCTACTTCTGAAAAGTAAACAATAATTCCTGGAAATCTTGACGTAGGAGATGATCATCAGAATAGCTTCAACAGCGCGTGCAGACAAGCGGCGCAAGCAGCGTCAACAAAGTGCACAGCCCAAACAGCCAAGGCAGTGCAAGGCAGCGCAGGCAGCGTAAACAGCGCAGGAAGCATCATGACAGTGGAACGGCGTATGCACATGACTCAAACAGTTCGCTGTTTTCTCCCCTTTAATTTAAAGACTTCTCAGTACTTTAGGCCTTTGAAAGCAGACAAATAGGGACCTCTGCACTTTGGGCTCTTCATAGCTTCAAACTGCTGAGAGGTTTTTAGAATTTGCAGCAGGGTCCCTAAAATCGTAAAGCATTTGTTTGAGTCTTCACGCACCAGGAGCACCAATACTCAAACATATTGTTTTTTGACGAAAGCTAGCTCGCCAGCTGGAGTCTCTCTTGCTTTAGCAAGTGAAGGGGCCAGTGAATCCCACAACCCACTGCGGTCGAAAAAAATGGCTTTGGAAGATGACTTTCCTTCCCTCCCCGCCTCGGCCGCCGGATGCCCCCTGGACTGCTTGCAAGGCTCCTTGGCTTCTGTCCAATCTTTGCTTCTCTCTTCTCGCCGCAGTTCTCCCCACTCTTCGCTCCGCTCTGCACTCTGCTTCCCGCCCTGCTCTTGTTCCCAATTCTTTTCGCTCCGCTCTTCTTCTTGTTTGAGACGTGGTCAAACCACTCTGCTGTATTTGCTAGCTTTCTCCAGGTGTATGGCCTCCCAAAACATTGGGTGGCACCAGATCATAGTTGATGTCCGAGATTTGGAGAAGCTATTTTGCAAAATCCTGAATACTGTACACTCATTTGTATCAGCTGTGTTTTTCTTTCAATGGCATGTGAAGGCAACTCCTGAAAGTGGGAATAGCACCGCCCACCAGGGTCAGCTGCAGAACACATAGGTTTCTTCCTGCTACCAATGCTTTCCGTGAAGCGATGCCAGCCATCCCCTATGGATGGTAAAGCTCAGCAAAATACTTGTACGCAAAGTCAGCGGATACTTGCGGGCTCCAAGTCCATCCCTGACCCTCTTTTAGGAGAGGTGGAACTGGGGCCTTTGAACCACCGTCCCAGCTAAAATGAAGCTTCTTCTGTGCAGGCTGCTTCATTTGGGCCCTCCACAGGCTGGCAAGCGCATCCATGTCCTCAACGATGTTTGCACTTCCAGCGCCGTCAACCGACATCTTCCGAGATTCCACTGGTTCCTAGGGTTTGTTGCCAGTCTTCAGAGAATTGATTCCAACCGTCATGTTTGGCGCACTTGTCAGCGATGAAAAAGCCTTGAAACTGCTTACAACGAAATTGCTCCAATCCACACTTTAACAACATTGCAAGGGCATTGGTTCCTTGAAATTGCTTTTTGCCCTTTGCTCAGGCCCGTCTGAGCACTTTGGCTGTTGTTCTTTCGTGAAGTTCCGGCCATGTCAACCTCTAAAAGTGAGGGGTCGCCCTCGCGCGGACAATAGCTTCGCTTGCCTCCCCTGGGGACCTCCCAGCATGGCACGATGAGTTCAATCAAGCGCAACGTGCTGAGAGGTCCGCGCTCTAAAAGGCCTAGCCCTCCCAGTTTGGCTGTCTGAAGACTGCCTAAGAGAAGAGCCAAAATTCCAACCAGCCGCAGACCAGGAAGCAAACACATTTTAATTGAATGCTCTGCACAATGTCAAATTGTCCAATGGAAGCAGCAGCTTTGAATTTGTCAGTTTCTGAAAGAACAAATATTCCGGTCAGGGTCAAAGTCTTTGATTACATTGAATGCCTGTCAGAAGGAACCTTGAAGGGACAAGGCTACCAGTCCAGATCTGGAAACAAAAGCTTTCAATTAATTAATTCTGTTTAGAAGGAACGTGAAAAGACAAGTGTACCTGTTCAATGGAAGCAACAGCTTAAAAGGCATTTTGAAAGGATCATCCGTCACTCAAATGGCTGTTGTTGAAAGAACTTTGAAAGGACAAGTCTACCAGTCCAGATTGATTTTAAGAGTCGCTTGAGAGGAACTTCATTGGCAGACACAGCAAGCATTGCTTGACCTTTCTTGCAGGATGCACGGGCTGTTGCCCTCTATCTTTTGATGTCCCAAATGTGCATTCGTTACATTTTGCCCAATCAGGTTGAGAAGTATGTCGAGAATGAAGGCGCAGACCCAACCTACACATTTACCGGCAGTTGCTCGGAATTATTGCAGGTAGATTCGAGGAAGTGCTCCAGTCTGAGCGACAGCGCATCAGTGAAGAGGCGAGCAACTGCCAGCATGGACAATTTGCGCCAGTATCCACGGGGCAAATGCAACTCAACTGACAGCTTCCAAGCAAGTCGACCACACCACTGCTGCTTTTTGCAGGCAAGTGCACAAGTCACTGCGGCAGAAATGCGGGAGCAAGCGCTTCGAGGGAGATGCAAGCTATTGCAGGCGTGGCTTTGCATTGGCATCAGTCTTGGCCGGAGCTGATGTTGCACCTGTTCTTTTGGGCAAACGCGAGCTTTTGTCCCGGGAAGTTTTGCCGCGTGACTGAGCAGTCGAGGCTTGCTGCTTCCGATTATGGTGGTGTGTGTGTCTCAGCATTCTAACCTTAGCAGACCTAGGAAAGGAGTCGCTAACGTGAGGTCTGGATGCCGACCTGCCAGGACCTGCCAGTGCGGACAGCAAAGAAAGCATGGTGACTCAAAATAGGGGACTCCCCAACTCCCCAACCATGGTTTTCCTGGCTCTCCTCCTGGCTCTCCTCAGAACCCATCAAAAAAGACCGGGGTTCCCCCAAAGACCCGCAGACCCGCCTGCATTGCTTTGGAAGGACTGGATCTAGCTTCCGCGGCCGAGAGCCATGGGCAGGCCCGGCAGGCCCGTTCTCTATACCGAGTGTATTCTTCTCCATGTGGATGTGATGGTTGGATTCATCTGCTTGCAATTCAGGAGGTTTTTTGGAGGGCTATTTTTTTTCTCCGTTTTTCTTTAGGGATTTTCCTGGATTGTGCCTTATCTGGCTTCTTAGCTTCTTGGCTTTTTGGGCTTTGTCATTTTGGAGTCTGGGCTTGGCTTTTGGCTTTTGGCTTGTGGCTTTTTGGTTTCTTGGCTTTTGGCTTTACTTGTTGCGCATCCTCAGCATCACCAGCAGCACCCCAGCATCAGCGGCTTTGGGATTTTTGATTTTTGGTTGGTGGCTTCATACCTCCCATGTTTGTGTAAATGGGGGGGGGGGCTGCGCCCCCCAACCCCAACCCCCCCCCGCTTCTTTGCAGGACCGTTGTTTGGCGAAACCCTGAAGTAACCTTAAACCAGCAAGACTCCCTAAAGAAACCCCTAAACAAGCCCACACTAAACCAGCAATAGACTATCCCTAAACCAACTCTAAACCTACCCTAAACCCCAACCTCCCTAAGCCAATCCCGAAACCCACCAACCCCAAGTCCGCACCAAACAAGCACAAAACCATCGCTAAAAGCCCACCTTAATCCACCCCCACTGCCCTATACCAACCCAGCCTAAAGCAGCCCCAAAACCAATCCCTAACCCCCCGTAAACCAGCACTAAACCCAAGCTAAACCCGCTCTAAACCTTACCCCCTCAAACAAACCAAACCAACACTGAACCATCCCTAAACCAACCCCAACAAGCCCACCATAAACCAGCACTAAACCATCCCAGTACCTAAAGCCCAGCCACCCCCCAAACTTGCCCTAAACTTAGCCTGGAACCCACCCTGAACCAACCCCTGCCAACCTTGAACCCACCCTAAACCCAACAAATCCAACTGAGGATGTTGAAAAGGATGCTGCCGAGGTAAAACGATGCCGGGGATGTTGACAGCGCTGCTGCAAAACGAGTCAAACCACAGCAGAACCAAGGGATATTGCACGTGCCAGTTTCAAGACAGAAAATCCAGGAAAAGACCCAAAACAAAGCAGGAAGCAATCCCCAAAAAATCGCGGCTCCAGGCGTTGTTTGCTCAGCAGCATACCCTTGGCTTCCTCAAAAGCCTTTCACTCATTTACCATGGCATCGATTTGAGCACGATGTGCCAAGGTCAATGCAAGCGCACTCGTAAGGCAAAACATAGCCTTGCGTCGGCGGTTGGCGTTCCCGCACCACTCTGCGAGACCTTAATGCACGCGGGCAAACGTCAAGATGCAAGTTATTAGGGTGACAGGCCGCTGACAATAGCACAGAAGAGTGGAACCATGCTGAAGTCAAGATGCGGACCTTTTGATCAACCCCCGTCTGACGGTTTTGTTGGATTTCTGATCCTGATTGGTGAGCAGTGCGCGACCACTCGGGCGGCCACCAGTCTCTCTCTCTCTCTCTATCTCTTTCTTTCTCTCTCTCTCTCAAGGCATTGACCAACTGCTTCCGTCTTGTGTGCATGGACTACGACAACAATTCAGGAGCCCCCCGGAGAAGTATCCCAAGGACGTCCAACTAGATTCTCATCGGGCCGGCTGTCTGCTGGCTGCAGGATGACCAAACATGCAAAACGCAAAGATCTTCGGTTTGTCATGCATATTCGCGTGTACCAGCTCCCGACGGCTGCAGCATGGAAGGCGGCATGCACGCATGGTCTCATGGGCAGCAGCCCATTCGGGTGGACTAATTCAGACCAGAGCAGAGAGTGGTCTGCGCAAAGTGCTTGGATTGGGCGTGCGAGCCAATTTTTGTGCTTGAGCAGGTTTGCAATAGCACCAAACAGCAAGTGACGCATCCAGCGAAAGGATCGAGTATTGCGTATTGCCATTGTCATACCAGCCCCAGCAAGACAGCAGTTTCAACCCATCAGTTTCACGTAGACCCGATGTGCCAGGATGTTGACTCGATTCCAACACGGCGCATGCCTTTGCCGGCTGACTGGCGCAGCATCCTTCAGTTTCAGGCAAAGTGAATGATCCGCTCAGTGCCTCCATCGATGCTTTCACTTCGGGCACCCTGCAAGGCCAAGCTCTTTCACAGCTTTGCAGATGCGAGCAGCCCAAAGCCGCACTCTCAGCACAAGAGGTTCGTTTGACGGCGTTGCAGCGAACAATCCCGGCCAGCAAGCGTCTTGTGCTCTCAAAATTAGGCCCATTGTTATCTCGTATGCGTTAAGGCAAGAGCTGTTTGTCACAACGAAGGCCGTTGACAGTGCTGAACATCAGAAAGAGCATGCTTCTTTTCAATGACAGCTTGGCAACATATCGATGTGAAAGCGATGTGTTCACTTGATCCTGACAGGCTGCAACAGGAGGCGTTTCTAGCTTGCCGTCTTCCCCCAAGAAGCGTGAGAAGGCTGCTCCAAGTCGGTATCACTCTTAGGGAGACGAAATGATGAACATGAGGAATTTGTGCGTCATGTTTAGACTCTAGGCAAGCGGCGGACGTGTCTGATGTGGCTGTAGATCCAGCTCTGGCTAGCGACCAGGCACGTCAATCACACCATGTTACCCTTCCAAGTGCAACCCTGAACAGAGAGGTCCATGCTTGCAACTTGCGCCCAGCTCTTGATTTGAGCTTTACGTCGCAGCCTAAGTCATCGGGAGCATGTTGCATGCCAGCACGGTCAATATTCTACTGAAGCACAGCAACTTACAATAACGAAATAGGACCTTGGGCGGTCTCCAACATCTCGTGCAGTTTATCAGACAAGGAGCTTGAAGTGTGGCGCATGTGCACAGATGAGGCGAAAAGGCTCAGAAGGACATTTGTGCTGCATTGGGCAGACTTTGCACTGGCGCATCTTACTTGATGCCAGGAAAGTCTGAGAGACCGGAGCGGAAAAGCTCACCCCTGCGAAGGATCTGAACTCGAATCTGCTTGAACTTGCGTTCATTACTCGAATCTGCGGTTGAGCTGGATTGAACATTCTTTGGCCAAGGAGTCCTTCACCAAAGTTGGCTCGGTGGAAGAGATGATGGAGATGATATTGGTCTAAGAGCAGATTCCTCACCCCCGATGTGACAGTGTTAATGTCAAGAAGTTGCCAAAGTGCAACTTTTGCGGATCAACAGTGTATGGCATAGAAAACAACAGACTGCATTTGCAGTTTGGCATTGATTGATTCCAATTCACGGCAGAACTTGTATTTTGCGGTTGACGCAATACCTGTGAAGGTACCGCTGGGAGTTCCGGGCCACTATGCTTTTTCTGGTGGTTTGCTGCTTGGAGATCAGGCGTGCTTTGATGCTGAGTGCCCATTTGAGTGCAAAACAATCCTTTGGTGGCATTCTGCTATCGGCTTGGCCTTATTGATTCGCACCCTTCCCTGCAGTGACCTGATCTTTGCCGTGGATTCTGTCAGCGCCATCGTGGCGCAAGTCAATGATCTCTTCTTGGCGTATCGAAGCTCAATGAGTCGAACGTTCGCGTGCTAGTCTGGCCTATCCATTTATTTCACTTATGCTTGTGAAAGTCTAGGATTTCAGTCAGTCAGCCTAGGTACTCCTCAGCTGTTTTTGCAATGCTCGGACTCCGCGCCACCTTCTTTATCATTGCAACTTGCTTAGATGAGCAGGAACAGATTTAGGACGCAGAAGCTGATCACACTTGACCCAGGATGTCCTTGTGCACATGTTCGAGCTTCTGAAATATGGGGTCTCTGCGGCGCCCCGGCTGACATGCGTTCTACTTTCTTGTATAAGGTTTTTGTGGCATACCCGCAAAAGGTTCTGGTTTTCATTGGGGTGAAGCTTATCCTGGCACACCACTACACCATTGAGCCAGTGCGTGCCCAAGTCCTGGTGTTCTTTTTGGCCTCCCTTCACATGGCTTTGCTGACAGCACACCGTGGTCTGTGTCCTCATCGGCTGCATTGGCGCCTCTATGCTTGCCTCCGTGATGAAGGCACGATGAAAGGCATGTTGGTCTACGCAACGATCGAGTCTCAGGTTGAAATGGAGAAGAAAATGCAAGGGCAAGCACCAGAGGACGAGACATTTTTCCTCACAGACTTTCATTAATTCGTCTCCTTCGCCACACGAGTCTGTCTTTCGTGACATTTGTGTCGAGGATGTTGCCAAGAGGATTGAACAGGCTTGGGTTAGACATGCACCACCCTCTCAGATGAGTGTCACAAATTGGTCCGTCCACATGGAGTGGTACCAGTGCATGGCAAGGTGAAGGAGAGGACGACACCCCTCACTTCACCTTTCGTGTCTCTGCCTTACCTTATCTTCTATTCAACTGACATCTACGGATATGGTCAACACTTTACATGTTTCGGAACGCTTAAACTTCTCACTCAGGCCGGTTGCACTTCCAGCAGCGCAGTGATGCACTACAGCATCGGGCAAGTTGTTTTAGGACTGCAGATTTAGCCGAAAGAGCGGTTGCAAAATGCCCATGTGCTTCCTATGCCTTTCAGTTGACACTTCAAGTCTCCTTCTGAATCCGTCACAACTTTCAGCAGAGAGGAGTCACAGCAATGCCCACTGCATGCCTTGCGATCTTCCAAGAGAAAACATGTTTCGACTCACGGCGTTATTACTCCAATTCGTCAACAGTGATGTTTGTTTGTTTGCCTTACAGTGTTTGCTTTACCTCCGGCTGCAATGGCATGGCTTGCTGCGTGTCGAGAGCGCGTGGCAGTGATTCGCTGGACGCCAGCCTCAGATCGAGCCTTAGTGAGAAGACGGGATATGTATAATAAATAAATATATTATATATAGAAATAATAATTATATTATACGTAGGTTTACAGATGACAAAGCCTTGTGATTGTAGCGCCACGATTGCTTAGCATGACTGAGGCATTCCAGCATCGAGCATCTCAGGTTCGATCTGCCGCCAGGCAATGCCCGTGGTTATGATCACACGGTGATGTGGGGTGGCCGCACATTTATGTGCACGTAGGCCAGTTTTCTTTCTTGTAAGGGGTGAAATACTGGGCCTGGATCACGCAGCAGTGGGAGCGCAAGCCTTAGTTTAAAGAGCCTTGGAGTGAATATCGTATTACTCTTTCGTGAGTTGGGGGAAAATCAAGACATGACGGCATATGCAGGTCAAGGATTTACAACGTTCGCTCACATGGTGCCTAGCTGCAAATTAGGGCACGCTCATGTCGCATGTGAGTCCTGAGCTTCTGCTGCCGTCAGCGCAGCATGCCTTTGGCGGAGATTCATCAATACAGACTAGCAGGTACCGCGGAGTCTTGGGGTTGAAGCATATGTTTGCTGATGTCGCGACCTTAGGATTGACAAGACCAATCAAGAGACTGCCACAACGTGCTTATAGGATCCAATGTTCAATGACGGCATCGCCATGATGGGCGTCAATCATATTCCACTTCTGGCCCTGTTGAGGAAGCCTGCATTTGCATTGCCATTTGTCAGCCGGAGCCCGGGTTGGCAGGCTTCCCAGCAGCGAAGAGCCTTTGCAAGGACGCTGCCCTTCGCATTTCTCAGTGACACTCTGCCCTTCTTTTTGCAAGAGGATCCAGAGAACAGCGTGGCCACTTTGCGCTGGATACCTGGGTTGGCCACAGGTTGACCACAGACATGTTGAGGATATCTTTACTGGAAGGCTGCGCACCAAGCCGGAAGATTTCTCTGTTTGGAGAGCGACATTGCCAGACCTGCGGGCACCTTAGCTGCTTTGCACTGTCAGACTTTGAACGTCAGATGCTGGCGGTTGCTAAGGTTGCGACGCCACAAAGCCCATGCGGGCCAAAGTTTGTGGCTGGAGGACCAGTGTTTCTGTCCACATAAACCCCAGTTGAGATCATCCCAGGAGCAAGACTACGGGCAGCAGCGCAGCCTGTTTTTCCAGGATCCGGACACAAATGAAATCGAGGCCTACCCCATTTGTCGGTGCTTTTATGGATGCGATTTGCTACCAGGTCGCTGCTTGGTTCCAAGGTGAGCCAGCTTGCAAAGGAGTCTAAAAGTACGCATCTCAGTCGAGATTGCAGTGTTGAAGCTCAGTGCCCTCTGCTTCTGGTTTCAGGGCAAAGGGCGGAGGTTGCCTCAGTACTTGAACAAAGGGCCTGGGGGTTGCACCCTATTCAAAGGGTTGCGATACAAGCATAATTTTGACAGCATCGTAAAATGCGGAGATCGGCAACAAACATACACATGGTGGGCGGCTCAGACAGTCATGAGTCGGGATGGCTGGGACATTTGGGATCAGATGGTTAGGGTGGCCGGGATGGTTGGGACTGCCGGTTGGATGGATCACTGCAAAGGAGAGAATGCAGAGCGGTTGGGAAGAAACAGCGCAGGCACCTCATTGCAGAGCGTCTAATTTGTCCAACTGCGGCTAACAAAAGCACTCAGTCTGCCAAGTCAACTGGGTTTCGGGTGTTGGTTTCGGGTGGTTCAAGGGTTGGCTAGTACTGAGTATGGTGGGCTTGGGCTTGGTTTCGCAGGAGTGGGGGTAGGGATGGTTTAGGGTTGTTTATGCTTGGTTCAGGGGTTGATGTAGGGGTTGGAGTTGGGGCAAGAGCGGTCGGGACGCTCTGGGTAATTTGGGGTCCCCATTCCGTCGACTCAAGTTCTGATCGCGGACCGAATCTTAGCAACATTTCGGCCGACATTCAATGTCGTGTCAGCCGATTGCATCGGATGATTTTACGTCAACCCCCATCATGCATTTTGAGCTTGCTCAAGCAGCAACCATCAACTCAGCTGTAAATTCATCTACTCCAAATATTGACGAGATGAAGCAGCACTACAACTGTTTGATGCACTTTGTTTCGTTTACTACTTTCAGCTTGCATCTATCTCAGCGACTGAGAAGCAAGCGATTGTATTGCGGTAATCAGGGTGCAATGATGGCTGCAGAACAATCGAGCGTTGGGCGCTGACACAAGTCACCTGCCATCTATGATCCTGCTGACATGGTTGAAGATGAACCTTGGAGCACCAGTACCCAGTAGCACATACACACACACACTTGCTTTGGTGTGATACAACCAAGACACAAAGCTTCTTGATGAGGATTCAGCAGCAATCAGTTTGTTGGTCTTTTCAATCTACGTAGTGGCTAGAGAGCTGAGAGCTGTTCCTGGGAAACACTTTGATGCCGCTGACTTTTCTCTGAAGACTGAATTGCTTGCCAGCGCCGTGTGGCCGCTTAGGAAGAGTATTTCGAGATGTGCTCCTTTTGGCATGAAGGTTCCAAGTGTCCAGCTACCTTCACATTGAGCCGAGCCTTGCACAGGCGATGCTCCTGATGTGATGGTTTTTCGCAACGGGCAGATCTCAGCGGAGGAGCTAACGTGAAGGTTTCACAATGTGCTTTTTGAAGAGCACTTGCAGTGTTCGAGGACAGCTTCAGCCATTCTCGGACGGTGCCTTTGATATGTGCAGCTGCCGAAGATGCTATTGAGGACGCGGTGCGGGCTCTCTCTCTCTCTCTCTCTCTCTCTCTCTCTCTCTCTCTCTCTCTCTCTCTCTCTCTCGCTCTCTCTTTCGTCTTTGATCGAGACAGGCCCAGAGCGCAGCGTCTGGAGGTGGACAAGAGGCGATTGTGAGAGGAACAGTCATGACACTTCAGACTTTTTGTCCATCGGCTGACCTCCACGCCTTGTGACGCCAGGAATTCCTTCATCATTGGGATGATGGAATTTACAGCTGTGCCAGGCGGTGGCCCTTGTGTTGGCATACCTCTCTGGCTTTCTTCGTACCCGCAGGGTATGAAGCCTTTCTTCATTCATTTGAACCTTGTTTCTGGCGCCCAGGTGTCACCGTCAGCTATATCATTCACATTCCAAGTGGCAAGGGCCTTGTGCTTGGCCAAGTTTCCGATCTTCCATGGACAACGAATCTTGGCGGGAAAATAAGCGAGACACTTTTGTGCCCTCCCAAGCATGTTTCTGTTTCGTGCCTTCGACCATTGAGGCTCTGAAGATGCGACCAGTGACAAACTACGGCCGCTGCTTGGCTGCGGCAAGCCGGTCACCTGGATAGGGCTTGCCTTCAAGCAAGCCAGGCTACCGCTGTGCAGTTATGGAGTTATACTGTGGAGGATGTCGGCTTTTCATAGGCGTGGGCTACGCAACCGTCTTCAAACTTATCCTTCTTGAGAGGGATCGTGCAAACGGGGAAAGGTCATGGATTCCAAGATGCGCTGGAGAAGGGTGACGAGGTTTGCATCAAGAACCTTGCCACCCTTTCGCGCCGATGTGATTCTTGTGCTGATTTTGTCCAATGCTAATCTGTTGTTGGTTCATCCACGACCTGCAACGCATGCAACTTGGCAGGGGCCAGAATGTACTGGATGGCGGCACTGAGTTCTATCCCGCTCGCTTCACTTTAAAGTGGGTGAGCAGACCAGCTGAAGTCGCAAGGCCGGGCATACCGACCATTTGCAGGCTATATGGCAACGCAGCGGTTGTCCTTTTACGTAGTAGTGCCATACATGCCTGCTTGCCTTGTCTTCTCAACTTTCAGTGAGGCTGTCATGCACGGGTGACATCGGCTACATATGCCGATGGAGTGTGCTTTCTTGACAACTGGCGAGTGGCTATTCTGCCTTTGCTAATGTCCTGTTGGATAAGGACCGTGTTGGGTCGCACAGCGTTTGGTGAGGATCATGGCGCAGTCGCTGTGCTGCTGCCCGTCGATAAAAATGGACTTGCGCTGCTGTCAGAGTCAAGCACCTCGTTCTGTTTTTCCTGAACATATCAAACCTTTTTCTGACATAAATCAGGTTTTGGTCCTTGGCTTTCTTGTGCTTGCTGCTAGTCATGCAGGAAGAGTTGCTTTCAGCTGCAAAACTGTCTCTCATCAATCATTGACAAACACTTTGCATGTTTGTAGCTTTAGCGAGTTGTCATCCTTGCACATTTCCGCAGCTCGCTGTATTTCAGTGAGTGGGGCTGCGGCTGTGTCGTTGAAAATTACATTTGCTGAATGTGGAGGACGCGTTCGAGAGTGTGTTTTGCAAAGGCTTGCTCGTCTTCGGACAGTTGCTAGCATCGTACGGCACCAGGAGGATGCATGCCGGCCGACTCGGCCGACCTCTCAGCTTGCTTGAAGATGTATCGCTCATTTAGGCATTGTATGCTGTCAGGCTCTTCTTGACCGGGGCGCCAAAGTGGCCAGCCGTGGTCTGTTGGTTGTTCCCCTCTTCATCTTGAAATTGCTTCGAACTCATCCACTCAAGTTGTGCCTTGGCTGCACAATGGGGTGTTCGGGTTTGAGGGAAATCTTGGATCCATGAATGCCTCCCTCTTGCCAAATATATGCGGTATTTGGAAAGCTAAATACTTGGATCCACAATCCAAGATGTCAGGATATGTTTGGGAGCAATCTCGGATCCATGAATGCTGCCCCTGCATTGTGCATTCCGTATTCTGATTTCTAAATGCCGCATTTATCTTGTACGGTATTATTTCTAAATGCAGTATTTTAGATCCTGGATCCAAGATGTAGGCATCTATGTAAAAAGCTACTTAGAATTCAGTGGGAACATTCATCGACACATGTTTGCTCAGATCTACCGTGAAAACAATCAACGCATTGCAGCCTGTTTGGACAAAGTTGGCACCCCAGAAAGGGGGGTTGCCAAAGGCAAGACCTTGTTGAGGACATGTCAAAGTTTGTAATCTGCCAGGGCCTTGTGGATGTTGTCTACTGCGGCAGCTGCGGACATTGGCCTCGCCTGCCTCCTTGCGACGTTTGAAGCTCGCTGTGAGAACGCATCACACAGGATTCGGTCGTGGGAGTTCCTACCAAGGCTATCCCCTGCCCTTCTTTGCACTAGTGTGGTACATGCTGCCAGCTTCTGCCCATAGCCTCTTTTTTGCGCTTGGACTTTTTCCCAGAAGCTGTTCAACGTAAGTCCTTCGGAGGCCTGCAACGATTGCACATTGGCTTCCATCTCGTGTAACATGGACGCTCAAACACAGAGTGGAGAAAACCGCGGCAGGTGAGGCGAAAAGTGCAGCTCGAAGAAGCTCCGTAGTCTGCCGTTGCCCCTGCTGCAATTCACATAGTGGGGCACTTTTGAAAGCCACACTTGGCACCCAAGTTCGCACACTGTTTGGTATCAAAGGGAATGAATCGCTGGAGCTTTCTGCTCTTCTCAAGGTTCCTTGCCACCTCTTCTTGTGCAGCGGCGAGCTGTTCTGAAGAATGGCACAGGCTTGGCATCTTGACTGGACAAGCCACAGCCGCAAACTGCTCTGCAAAGGCGTTGTGGAAGGCAAGGCCAATGCCAGTGTCCCTTAGCTGAATATGCTGAACGCGATTCGATGCTTGGGTCATTTTCCTCCATTCAGCTGCAATTCAATGTTTGGGTGCATCCGCGTACCGCTCCATTCATCAGTTCAACAATGAATCGATATCTTAGGATGGGGACACCTTTAGCCTCGAGGCTGGATGCGAGGGTGATTGATAGAACAGTGTTTGTGGTGCCATTCGCCTTGTTACAGAACACAGTGTTCACCGCTGGCTTGAAAGCAACCTGCGGTATGGATGGCAACTCATCAGTATCCGTGAAAGGTTTCAGCCTGCGAGTCTGAGCCCACCTTGGGGCCTTGGAACTTAAACTGCGCCCGCAGTTTCTACCACCCCGTCTTCCAGTGGTGAAACAATAGGTCTGGGGCACCAAATAGAAACACATCAGGACTGGAGGCTCATTTTTTGGGTCCCAGATTTCCCTTGGCCCTCGCCAATTGCCAATTGCCTTTCTGTCCCGGCTGGGGATGTTTGGCTGCGTCTCCCTCGCGCGTGCAACCACATTTTGCCTGCCCACTGCCAGCACTGCCATTTGTCCGATTAGCGCCGCGCTTACTAGTTTCCGGAAGCAGCCTTGCAGTCCAGAGAACCTGGTCTGGGTTCGAACCGCAAAACCGCGAATCCTTGAAGATACCCTTATCATTCAGCAAGCTTGAGGGCACTTGACAAACACAGTTCGTCTGGAGACGCAAAGGGCCACAATGACAAGAACAAAACAACAAGAACAAAACATATTTGAAGATCTCATGGCCGCTTCACTGTAAGCTGGGGACCGCGGCACATTGGGCCAGCATTTTTTCTCAAGGATTTTTGTTATTTTAAGTTCTCAGGTGTTTTTAATCCAGTATGTTTTCTCCTTTTGAGGGGCAGGCAAATTGGAAGAACAAACAGCTTGAGTTTCCTTACTAAATTTTGATCGAATCAGTTCTCACTGAAATCTATTTAAATTGGCACTTGGACATGCATTTCCATTTAATCAACAAACATAGAATACAAACATTGATTTGTATTAACATTTGCGTACTTATAGAATTCTCCTTAAATCTAATCATAATTAGAATGGAAGAGTTGTCGGAATGACTTCCTAACTTAATTCCAACTCGAAATAATATGGTAATTTGAAATCTGACTACTAATTATGTGCATTAATCACAGTGTTTCTTTTTCTGAGCGGTGTAATGCGATGGTTCTGGTCGTGAGGGCCGTGCTTTCGATCAGTGAAAGACTGAGTAGGGGCCGCAAGTTGTTGTTTTGCCGGTCAGCACCCGAGAGCGGTGCTGCGCTGCGCAGTGTTCAGCGGACTTGAACACGTATGCGGTCGGAAAAGAAGAAGATGTGCTTTAACCTTAAAGCGTTGTAATCTAAAACATGTAAACCGATAGAGCTGACATTCGGTTCCTTGTTTCTATTGGTGTGTCTCTCCTTTTAAGGGGCAGGCAAATTGGAAGAAACGACCAGCTTGTTTTCCATACAGGATTCTAGTTGAAAACTAATTCAGTCCTACTTCCAAACAGGAATGAAAAGACAGATGCTAAGATAATCGCAAGAGAGAGCTGACAGAGCAGCAGCGCGGTTGGTCAAGCAGAACTGAACAGAGCAAGGGCTTGCCAACCTTACATAATCATTGTGCATAGCGAACGGTAGCACAACCTTGCTGTGCTTCTGAGCAATCTATGCTAGAAAGCCTGGATTGTTAGGTGTCGGCTGCGCTCATCTAGAAACAAGCTGGGGTTACAGTATGCAGCGCGCAACTCATATTGTGCAACTGATGCTCGCTCCTGGACTGGAGGAGTCGCTGACTCTCGCTTCCAGCGAGATGCAAAGATTGTTCAGCCAAGGAGATCAGCATGAACATGTGAGACAGGTTGTACCAGGTCAGAGGGTGGGTCCCTTTCTTGCAGGCGACCAAAGACAGCCTTGCAGAAGCTAGTCCTGTACGCTCAATAATGAGAATGCTTGGATTTGGGCATGCATCAAGTGCAAAGCCGCATTGGTCCTGAGCTGTCCTTTAAGACGTGAACAATCTTTTATAAAGTCAGGCAAGACTTGGTCCGCGTGAACCATTTTTGAAAGGCCGGCCGGCACGGACAGGATGGAAGCTCACAAACACATCTGTGCTTTCCACGTTGGATGCGTCCTCAGCTTTCATGCTTCATGCCTGCGCTGTAGACCTTCTTTCCTAAGGCTGTGTCTTTGAATGCAGCCTCTGGTATGAGAAGTGCACAGGCGTTTGCAACTTATTCCGATCCGTTGGTTTTGTCAGAGCTTCCTATCGTAATCACGCGGCCAGCACTCATTGATGAGCAGAAGCAAAACAAGGTTCAGTCCTGCGCTGCTTTTCATCATCTTTGTAAGTTGCCTCATGGTGCTGGCCTCAAATTTGCATGCCATAATCAAGCCCTTGGGGTTTGTCGGGATCAAGTATGCCGTGTGCGCAGGTCTTTTCAGTTTGTATGGCTGTGTATCTGCGCTGGGAGTGCGAAACTTACTTTGAGCACCAAGCGAACCTTCAATGTGATGACGTGCCAGTTGGCATTTGTGCTCGAGTCAGCGCGACTTAGACAGCCTTATTCTGTGTGCAGGCCGCGCTCTCCTGCACAAGAACCCCTGGCAAAGGAAGTTGAGCCGCCAGTGGCACCAGCGAAGTTTCTCAACTTGCAAAGACTTAAGCAATTTGCTGGGCATCGTGTTGGCGCCAGGAATCGCAAACAGCCCGGCTCAGAGTGTCGCGCTTTGCAGGCGGGGGCTGCATGTCCGGCCTCACCAGGTGGTATGGAAAGTGTGAATACACCTTACACAGGGGCCTGGCAGCTTACACTTAGTGGATAGACAATGGTCAGTGCCTGAGCACAGATTTAAGCTTTCACAAGTATGCGTTTGTAGTCTGGAACTCCTTCCGTCCATTTTAACAGCTCCTGTTAAACTGCCATTCTGACAAGGTGTGTTCCAGTTGCAAGGTCAGATGGCCAAGCGGGGTGCATACGCAGGACCTCCTCCGTCTTTGCTCACATCTCCCTGTGGGAGCCCGTCCTACAGACAAGGGAGGCAAGGGCGATGCTGTGCGAATTGGGTTGCTTGATTGAAAGATTGAATCGGAAGGTCATCCTTGGGAGAGCAGATGCCTCCCAGGACAGCAAGCAATCCTTGGCAACTTCGGAACAAAAGCTGTTCGACCATGAATGCTGGCTTGAGTTCTGAATGCAGCAGACTGCTCGACTCAAGCTCATGGCTGCTTTTGCCGAAAGCATCGATAAAGTTCGCCCGGCAGAAGCGTTGGCCTCCCTTTGTCAGACTCGCTTGCAAAGAGTGGCTTGCGCAAAGCGACTCACGCAGATACGCAGATCGACTTGAGCGAAGCAACTCACGCAACGTACCTTGCGCAGCGAGCAGAGTGTGCAACTGGCACAGAGCGACTTTCGTCGTGTATCTCTCGTAGAGGTACTTATGCGCAGTGGCTTGCGACTTACGTATGGCAACTTGCTCCAGTAACTCGCGCGAAGTGGCTTGCATGGAGTGACTTGCGCAGTGCAAGCGTGTCCTTCCTGGAGTGGCTTGTGTAGAGTGTCTTTTGTAGACAGCCTTGATATGCAGCTTGACTGGGCGTAGACTGGCGTAGAGTGACTCGTGCTCCCTAACTTGCGCAACCTGCGTAGAATGAAATACACATCACGTGCTACGTTCCGTGCAGAGCAACTTGCGATTTCCGACCCCCAGCCGTGCAAGCGCGTTTTGTGTGCTACTTTAATAGATCGAAGTTGCAATGTCCGAGCCGAAGTTGCAAAAGTGCACTTCATGAGTTTCTTTCCGACTTGAAAGCTGTGCTGTGCAAACCGAAGATGAAGAGAGAGTGCTTCGCGTGCCACTTTCGTACTTTATAAGCTGGTCTTATAAGCTGGTCTTGTCGAGCCGGAGCCGCGAGTGTGTGGAGATTTTGGTTGAGTAGCGGGCTTTTCACACAGACTGGAAGTCCAATGGTTGACAAAAGTCAGCAACCTAATGGCTTTTTGTGAGTGGTGACTTTCTGTCCTTGGTTGTTTTCTTGAGTGGATCCTGAATTCCAGTTGGACAGGAAAACGTTCAACTTCCTATTTTGGGTTTGGACAAGAAGGACACGAGGACTTTTTTTGTTTCAGAAAGAGAGAGACAGAGGGAGTTTCTACACACAAACGCGTGGTGGAGTTGTTGGAGCGTACTTCGCGGACCGCTCTTAAACCCAAAAAGCTGCGATTACCATGTTGCCATTGCGGACCAGATAGACATCCCTCTAGCGATTTTGCCACTGTACCTATGGGGCACCCGTGCTGTGGATGGACAACAAGGTGAGCGCGCCCGACGCGCTGGACATTTCAGAGCACTCACACCTTGGCAATTCGCTTCCTATGCTTAGGAAAGCACGGCGCCAGATTGCAGACAAAGCTATGCAATCTGGTCGGATACGGAGTCTGATCAACTCCGCGTACCTGCGTGATCTCGTTCTTTTGTTCAGACCTCTTCCGGTGATGTTTCCCGGTTTGTGCTGGTGCTCCTTTCAGATTTTGCAGTCGTGTGAACCGCGCGCCTGTGTGTTTGTGGGCGTAAGTCTTGGGAGGCAGGGGAAAACTATTTTGCGGATATATAAGGGCAACATATGGCCCAAGGCAAACGCGAGCCAAAGCTACCACTCCGCAGCAAAACTGAGCACATGGCAGACGTTCGGATCGACTGGAATAATGCAGAAATTACCAAGCCTGCCCTGCTGAAGGTAAAACGCGGGCTTTTCGCAGCACGAGCAAGAAGACAGCATAGAGAGAAAATGCAAGTTTTTGCACCCCAATATTTTGAGCCAAAATGCAGGCCACTCAAGAGAGCCTCTGCCAGCTACACGCTCGACTGTGTCAGCTGATTTCTCAGCTTATACTTTGCGACTGGTGCAGGAACCGCTGGCTGTGTCCGTGGAGCTCTCAGGCATGTCAACACAGGTGGGTCAGAATATTCATTTGTCTATGGACCATTTGGGAGGGACATGGGGACTCACCAAATTTCCCATGTCCAGTGGGGCAACAGTAAAAATTGACCGCATATCACATGTTGCACACTTCAGCACTGCCGAGGTCGCTGGTTGTGCCCAGCGGAATGGAGTTGGTATTTGCCGCAGTTGACCCAGCTGCTTTGTGGCACAAACAGTTGCAGTTTTTCCGCATCAATTTGAAGCTCAGGTGTCTGAATTGATGGCAGCAGAAAAGCAGCAAGTTGCGAACTCTCCTCAGCATGTTGTTGCTTGCGCGCGCTCAGAAAATCAACAATGTTGAGCACAGGAGACTTGTCACCTCATGTTTTCAGTAAGGTTCCACATCATCGACCTGCAGGGACAGCCCTTGAGCAGAGTCTCACAACAGCAATGAGGGGCAGAAAGGGTTGCCGCTCACTGTTCCTCCTAGGTTGTGGTCGACGAATTCGGATCTCGATGTGGTGCGCATTTGATTTTAAATGCTTCAGGTACATGCAGCATTTAGATAGAATATCTGGCATGCCTGGCAACTTTTCTCCCATTTGCAAAGTATGAGCGGTTCACACACACAGACGGCAGCTTGCCGTGAGAGGTATTTTCCTGCGATCGCTCGATGACCGACCGCTTGCCTGGGTTTGCACCTTAATCCCAATCCCAAGCGTGTGCTATTTTTAAAGGAAACTTGTTTCATGTGCCTTGGATGGACGACATGTAATCGGGAATCTGCTGGGGACAGCATGCGCACAGCATGCAACAGCTGCTAACATGACATGGCTTGGAATCTGCCATTCGAGTTTTGTTCGAGGTCCGAACCGGGCCACTCTTTGAGCGGGCTTCCAAGTTGACGCCTTCACTGCTTGAGCCGGAAGATGAACAATTTATATTTACACTCAGGAAAAAGGGGGGGCTGCCAGAGATTTGCTGGCCTTCTGGAGAGGCAGGCCAATGCTTGATACTGCAGAAGGTGTTGCAATCGAGCATTTTGTTGCCCTATCATCCACTTGTAGGTCTATGGGACTGTTGCCAAAGAAGACCCCGTGCCCAACAAGCGTTACACGCGGCTGCCTGAGAATCGATGAAGCTCAAAGTGACAGATCGACCCTTGGGAGGTTGAGGGACAAGTCTGGGCAGCGCATTTTCACCTTCAACGGAAATTTCCAGGAGAAGGCTGGGAGATCAGGAGATCAGAGCCTAGAAACCCTTTCAATAGGACCTCCAGATCACACAAGATCAACGGTGATGGAATCCACGTTTCCAAGCAATCTTGGCATGTGCTCTGTCTGCCACTGATCTTGCTTCATTTCAGAGCGAAATCACGTGCAGGCCATCAACGTTGTAAATGCCTCCGGTCGCCTTGTGTGTGACACAGAGCGATGTGCCGTGTCTCCTGGTACGGCCGCTTCCTACTTCCAGGCTGCAGCTTGCTTGCAGCATCATTTGCATCATTAGCAGCATCATTATCTTTTGCAGGTAAGAGTTGCTCCCAGTGTCGATGCTGGTCTTATCCTTTGCGGCATCCTTGCTGCAAGACGTGTGCTTTTTTGATGAAAGACAAGACTGGTCAGTGATGATAGCCGACAGCTCGAACTGCTCGAGGTTTGCTGGCCATAGACAAGTTGCGCAGAGTCTGATTGTGATCTTCGCATCATCCCAAATGCATTCCAGGCTGGGCAAGGGCATTGCTTCTATTAAATGGTCTCGGTCATTGGTCTATCACATTCTGTCAATACTGCATCCAGCGTGAGCAGTGATCATTTCTCTGCAGGTTGGTGTATGGCTGTACAGAGAGGAAGCACACGGCAAGGATTTTGTGCCGGCTACACATGCCGAGCTGCATGCGGTGACTGCACATGCCAGCCACCGTGAAGGCTTATTTGGACAATTAGTGGCGATGCGGTGATGTCACCGTTGTGACATCCTGCTCCACTTGTTTCTTGACCGCAGGGACTGAATGCAGGACCCTGCAGTCAAGATACTGCAGGCACACCCAGCAGCAAATTGACGGTTAGTTTGTTAGTTTCATAAGAATGAGGCTTCCCTACAACTAAGAATCATGAGTTCAGACTGTCATGGCATGGTGCTGGTCGGACACGGTCGGCCCAAGCAAGGCGCTTGACGTTTGGCCGCCGTGTTTACAGGAAGCCGTGGAAAAGGCGTTTTGGAAGCGAGTCGCCGGCAGAGCTTGTGGTCCAAGACTGTCAAGCCCTGAGGCAGGTGCAGCCAGGCAGACCCGATCGCTTGCTGGGCTCAGAGCCGTTGCAACGGGCTTCTGGAAGAAACATTGCCAGGCCAGCTGATGCACATTTCTGGAAGCAGTCTTTTCAAGCTTTCCTGATCCAGGTCTTGATTGACCAGTACTGTACCAGTTGGGAGGTTAGACAAGTTTCTAAACATCTACCAAGTTCGGGAGATTCTGATAGCTGCATCCATCTATTTGTCTCTCTGTATGACGTGACTGCATCTCCATGGCGCCAGCAGAGGGGCGCGAGGCGCTTCTCGAGTTTCAGGTCCCAACACGTTGGACTTTGGGAGGCGAGTTGGCTGTACTTTGCATGCGCTGCTGTGTCAGGCTCTTGAGCAGTGGCTACCTGTCATTGATGGGCTGCACATTGGTCAGCTGGTGGAGATCGAGGCCGGGGGCGCTACTTGAACAATATGTGGTTGAGCTCCCAATTTGGGCTTGAGATGAACTGAAACAAGGTCTGCCCCCCCCAAGCAAATCAAAGCAAATCAGAGCAAAGCAACCCGACGCAATGCAATGCAAGGCAACTCAGCAGCAGTCAAGCAGGATACAGCAAGCGAGCGAGCGAGCAAACAAGGGAGGGAAGGAGGGAGGGAGAGGGAGGAGGGAGGGAGGGAGGGAGGCAGGGAACAGGCAGGCAGGCAGGCAAGCAAGCAAGCAAGCAAGCAAGCCAGCAAGCCGAAAAGCTAGCACGCGGGCAATCAAGCAAGCTAGCTAGCTAGCCAGCTAGCTAGCTAGCAAGCTAGCAAGCTAGCAAGCTAGCAAGCAAGCAAGCAAGCAAGCAAGCAAGCAAGCAAGCAAGCAAGCAAGCAAACAAGCGTCCACCAACAAGGGTTGACTAGTCGTTTGTCAGCTATGTTACATTTGCAGGCGGGCCCCGAGGCGGGTCGGCGCTGGCCCCAGACTGCGGCACACATACACACACTGTGTTCTTGCTGGGTCTAACAAGCATGTGATGCCTACACCACTGCATGTCAGCATTCGCAGTTTTGGTGCCAAGGTGTGGACAAATCATCAATTGGCTTCCACAGGAAGGGCTTTTTGAGATTGCCCTTCTCAGTTGCGGGCTTATTCGATGATTCAGGGTAGGATTGCCACAGATCCAATTGTCAAATTTGCCAATTGAGTCGGATCCACAGCATTGCACCATTATGAGTTTGTACTTTCAGGCACTGGAAGATTCGTCCAGGTGGAGCCGAAAGACTGTGGCTCCGTGGTAAACTGTCAGGCCTGAAGCTGAAAGCAATTTGGGCAATGTTGCTTTCACATCCTTGGCTGAAAGGGGCCGGCCACGGGTGGTGGCCCTGACAGCTTCGACGTAGTCATTGGTCCGCGGACCAACCGGGATGCACTGGCTGAGGCAGGAGATCACATGATGATGATTTTGGATCCAGGGTTAATACTTGAGTGCTTGTTGTGTGCTCTTCCTGCTACAGTAGGTGCTTTCCAACAGCTTGCTGGAGAGAGGCCATGTGAGGTTCTGTCACCAGCACACAACTTGCTTGCAGAGCAGGCTTTTGCGTGCTTCGCCTTATCCAACGAGACAATGATCGGGAGCAGGTTCACAAGGCAGTGCTGAGTTGAGAGCATTCCGCGACAAGCATCATGAGTACACGTGCGCCTTGCAGATGCTCCGCCAGTTTGATTCTGATGGGAGGCAAACCTGCGAGTGATCCAGTCAATGCCAGCTTCACGTATGTTGAACGTTTGCAGCCAGGCTTTGCAGATTGGCGAATGAAGTAGAAGAAGGCTACCTTGGCAAGATCATACCTTAGTTTCATCCTCAGACTGGACATGTCTTGGAGCCAATCTTGGCCGAGGGGTGGTCGGGGCAAAGTGATGTGGCTGGACCCGGACGATCCGTCGGTGCCAATGGGTTCTGCTGTGCGCAGGCGCTTTCCACCATGCTTGCGGATTGAATTTAGCTGTGTGGCAGGTTCTGACTTGTCAGTCACGAGCAACATGTCTCTGTTTCATGAAGTGGACTGCTTCCAGGAATGATGCCAATATTACCAGTTTGGCCGAGATCCTGCAGCCGTTTGCAGAGGCGTTTGCTTCATGACTCACTTGTCCTGCAAGCCTCGACCATGTGAACAATGGAAGGATGTGCTTGGTGCACCAATTGCAGAGAGAACTCCAGCAATGGCCTGCATGCACGTCCCCCAGAGCTGTTTCAGGGTCTCAAGAGCCTGGCCCGTTGCCATGCAAGGTCAATGACAGACGCAGAGGAGGCCGTCTACGAGCATCCGACAGCCTCGGATACTATCATCGAGGTTGGGTGGCTCTGGTTTGTACCCATGCAGCTGAGATGAATCTCTGGTCATCTTTTGACGCGTCTACAGGAGTTCTATGGCAACTGGGCTCGCAGCGTGCTGCGAGTGGTCCTGCTGGCTGTGTATTTAATGATAGTGTGGGGTTGCCCTTGGTGGAGTTTTGTTCCAGTTTTGCAATCGACATTGACAGTGCGGCAGGTGCACTTCATGGGTCCAGGGGAGTCCAAGGCAGGCCCAACTACTCAAGCTCCCCTGGCTTTGCCGACTTATCCAGCAGGTGGAGTTGACCAGTAAGGAGGATGCTCCGATCAGTCGCTTGGAAGCTAGCTACGAGCCTTGGCAATGGCTGACGGGCAAGGCAAACACCCCCCCCCCAACCCCCAATGTGCGTTTGAGACCATGCAGCATTATTTTCTGCTCATGGTGATGGACGAGCGGCACTGGCTGCGTCGTTTTGTGACCCAGGAGATCAACGCTGGCCCGAACACGTGTGCCCGACTGGTTGTGAAGACACAATTGCGCGCACACACAACCACACTGCTTTGACACCCAGATTATTGCCATGCCAGGATTATTTTGGTTCGACAAGACACTTTTGATTTCTGGCCCAGATCCAAACACTGCAGCAAGCGCCCGATGGCAGCTTGGATAGCCTTAGGTGTGACGAACCAGAAGATGAAAGTGAGGCATTCTGGCTTCAGCCGCGCACTCACACAGCGGAATTATGTTGCTAGACTCATCGCAAAAGCAATTGACATTAGGTCCTTCCTGCTGCGAGCTGGTCCCAGCTGGACGTTGGGGGAACTGATTGATGGTGATCTCAGCTTGCTCGCGAGCAGAGGCTCGGGCTGGCTGGTTGGTTTGTTGGTGGGTCGGCGGAATGGGTGGCCGCGCTTGCTAGTTGTCATTGCGTGCTAGTTAGTTGCTGGCTTGCTTATTTGCTTACTTGCTTCCTTGCTTGGCAAGTGTTGCTTGTACAGTCTTGGCTGCTGCTTTGTGAATGCTAGCATGCTACCATACTAGTGACTGATACTGTCTGGCTTTGTCTCCATCACATTTTTGGCGTGCATTCTTTGAGCCTAGTCCACACACTGCCCATTGTGCTGTTTTTCAATTCCACCTATTCGTTGCAGACGAACATGACATGGAACGTTGTTTGCAGAGGGCATGCTTAGTGACTTATTGCCAGGTGAGGGGCCTGGACCACCAACTGGTCCTGAGGTTGTGTCTGTGGCTAGCAGCTTATCACATTTTGCAGACGCACAGAGCTGTGCGAAGTGTCCCTTGACTTTGAGACATTTACTGGATCCCAAGGTGGCGCTTTCTCTGCAAGCATGTGGCAAGATGACCGACCATCACAAGGAGTTCAAACCTCAGTGGCACTCCATTGTGCCGAGCTTGTCACTGTTTACGACTTCTCACTGCTTATGCCCGAGGTGGGCTGCATATACAGCGGGCGTAGATGCCCAACTGGAGATGCCCATTTTACGCTTTGCTCTTCGGCTGCATGAGCGATCATGAGGGCTGCACGTGCCATCAGGCATGGGTATGCTGCATGGTCAGTGAGTTTCGGACTTTGCACGATAGCTGAACACACGCATGCAAACTGCCAGAAGATGCTCCGGTGTTGCTGTCAGTGTTCGTTTTCTTTGTGCTGATGTGCCAGTTGAGGAATATTTACCCTATTACAGCGACGAGGTTGATGCGCCGCAGGGCACTACATTTGTCAAACATTTCTCGGTGCAAGATGGCTTCTTGGCTGCACTGGGCTTGCTTGATGTTCACAACAAAATGCAACATGCTTGAAAGTTAAATGCGTTTATGACAAACACCAAGAGCTGGACCATGGCAATGACGAGTTCCATTTCCCAGGTGTAGAGCTGTTTGACAACAAGGTTTTCGAGATTTCCAACATGGAGGTCGGTTGTTTGCTGGTTTGTCGATTTGCAGATCAGGGCTTGGAGCTCAGCCAGGCAGAGTGCATGGACCCCATGTACCGACAGATCATGGAGGCTCGGTTCCCATCATTTGGATGTCCAAAGCTCTTACAGCTTTGCAATGCTTTGCAACGCTTTGCAACGCTTTGCAATGCTTTTGCAATGCTTTTGCAAGGTGGGATATCTCTCCACGCTGCAGATTGGCCTCACCAAAAAGATCATCTCTCAGCTCTCGTGAGGAAATACGCATGGCAGGTCATGGTGAGGTATTGTGAAAGGAGGGCTATTTTGCTGGGGAATGTTTCCCGTTTTCCTTCAGGATTTTTTCCTGGATTTTGCCTTACTTGCCTTCTTAGCTTCTTGGCTTTTTGGCTTTCCGCATTCTCAGCATCACCAGTATCACCCCAGCATCACGCCTCCCACGTTTCTGTAGATGGGGCGGCTGCGCCCCCCCCCCCCCTCCCCGCCAACCCACCCGGCTTCTGTGTAGGGCCGTTGTTTGGTTTTGTGATGACCGCAAAAGGCAAAACTAAAACCCGGTCTGAACCCCAATGAATCCAACGCCCACCCTAAACCCACGTTTTGGCTCCAAAACTAAACCCATCCTAAACCACCACTAAAGCTAGAACCAACCTTAAACTAGAACCAACCTGAAAAGCAAACCTAAACGAACCCTAAAGAACCCCCTAAACAAACCCACTCTAAACCAGCAATAGACTATCCCCAAACCAACTCTAAACCTACCCTAGACCAACCCTAAACCCCAACCACCCCAAGCCAATCCCGAAACCCACCCTAACCCCACCCAACCACCCCCCTAAGCAAACCCTATACCAACCCGAACCCGCAGTAAACCCACCCTAAAGCAACACCAAAGCCAATCCCTAATCCGTAAACCAGCACTAAACTCAAACTAAACCCGCTCTAAACCCACCCTGCACCAACCCTTAACACACCCAAAGCAAACCCGACACCAACCGCTCCCTACCCCCCCCCCCCCAGCAAAACAAACCAACACTAAACCATCCCTAAGCCACCCCCAGACCACCCTAAGCCCACCTAAACATAACCACAGCCTAAACTAACTGTAAACCCACCCTAAACCAACCCCAAGAAGCCCACCATAAACCAGCACTAAACCATCTCAGTACATACAGCGCAGCCACCCCCAAGCTTGCCCTAAACAAGCCTGGAACCCACCCTGAACCAACCCTAGCCAACCTTGAACCCACCCTAAACCCAGCCTAACAAATCCAACTCGTGATGCTGAAGATGTGAGAAGGATGTTGACAGCGCTGGTGCAAAACGAGTCAAACCACAGCAGAACCAAGGGAGATCGCAACTGCCAGTTCCAAGACAGAAAATCCAGGAAAAAATCCCAAAACAAAACGGGAAACATCCAACAAACATCGGGACCCATCGTGCAAGGACACATGCTTGAGACCAAGGCTGGCCAACACCAAGTCGACACATGCATCTGTGTCCGTCGGGCTTGACAAGCAGGACAAATGCTTATTATATAGAAACGCTTGTGTTTTTGCAGCTTTGCTGCCCGGCGTGAGAGCCCAGGTTTTCTTTTCATGCCAGTCTGATTGCGGCATCGCAGGAGTGGCCCAACATGCCTGTTGCGACAAGCGTGGCCACCAACAACCAGCTTGCCATTGTGGCAAATCGCTTCAACTATGTATTCAACTTGAAAGGCCTCGTCGCAGCAGTGCTTGTTGAACCATGCAGTTCTTGGTGAGTAAATGCATGCTGCATTTGTATATGTTTGTGCGTAGTTTGCTTCAGGTGGAAGCTATGCTTGTGATACCGCCTGCTCTTCCTCTTTGGTGGTTGGACCCTTTCGATTGGCAATTTGTTTGCTTGACTTCGGCTGACTGGCTGACCTGAGGCTTCTCATCTTGGCAAAGTCAACTTGCTTGAGCAGAGGCACGCATGTTGGAGCAGCTTTTGAATTGGTTGTGGCAAGCCCAGGTGGGATCCCCTCGAGTGGCATATCGGCTTTGGCACGGGATTGACCCTGACAGTCTTTTCCTTTATTCATGGATGCGCAGCGCTTTGTGCTTAGCCTTGCTAGTGGAATGAATTCAATATTGTTGTTGGTGCTTGCTCTGGCAATTTGAGTTGCCAAAGGCACATGCTTTCACCTGGTGGGCGGTGCTTTACCTTTAATGTCCGCTCCCTATGCCTCCAGTAACTCAGCAACGAGATGAGATTGCTTGGCACAGCTCCTTCTTCAGGCCACAGCAAATGGCTACAATCGAGGGGACGGAACTGCAGCCTTCATCATCAAGATTCTCGGCGTAGATGAGACACGTGAACCGGAAGGATAGGTGAGAATACTAGATCCATTGATGAGCCAGTAGCAGCTGCCAAGGAATGGAACTTTCGAGAACGAAAGGCCTAGCTGCTTTGCATTTGTGGCGTCTGATTCCATCAACGCCACTGAAGGTTAGCATTCTTCCGTGGATCTCAAATAGGGCAAGATGGACGAAGTGCAAGCATGCCGGGCCCAGCATATGCCGCATGTTTAACATGGCTTGCTCAACTTCATTTTGGCTTCGAAGGTCAGCGCCAAATGGACCGGCTCAGGAGAAATGTGCCAGGGACTTACAGACACACACAGACACAGACACACAGACACACAGACACACAGACACACAGACACACAGACACACAGACACACACACACACACACACACACCCACACCCACACCCGCACCCGCACCCGCACCCGCACCCGCACCCGCACCCGCACCCGCACCCGCACGCGCACCCGCACCCGCACGCGCACGCGCACGCGCACGCGCACGCGCACGCGCACGCGCACGCGCACGCGCACGCGCACGCGCACGCGCACGCGC